CAGTATGGTGTTCCAACAAAAGAATTTGCAGGTACATGCATTGAGCCAGATCCAAAATCAGCTATAAGTAACAATGTGTAGTAATAATAAGTAAATAAAAGAAAACAAAAAAATAATGTTCAATTTAAAACCTAATAAGTGAGTGATTTTATTGTAAGTTGATATGTAAGCGATTTGATTGGTTATTAAAGTTGCTTAAATTGTTACTTTTTTGTTGACCAATTTTTAAAAATTATGTAATATATAGCATAAAGCTACAGTATAGTGTAGGGAAAAAAATTAAGTAAGATTGCATGTTTGTCTAGTATATTACTTTTTTACTATTATTTTTTCCCTAAATTTTTTGAAAATAAAGGTTTAATTCATTGTCAAGTGTTAGAAATATAATTAAATAAGATTAACTATTAGAAATATAATTAAATAAAAATAAATACAAATAAAAAAACTGGGGATGGTGAACAATTAACAATTAATAAAAATTAATTGTTAGTCGATTAATTAACAAATGATCAATTTAATTTTTTTTAATTATAACATTGTTATAATTCTTTTTATTCATATTTTGATATCCAGAAAAACTAAAAATTGAGAAAAATATCAGGAAATATCCGGAAAAAGATTATCCCTGTAATGACTGGACTTCAGGTGGAACTAGAAGGTATTTGTGTCTGAAAGTACATTGTTCAGTTAAATTTTATTATGGTCATGGAATGTTTAGAATAAATGGCTCAATGCCTTCAGAAAGAGCAGTTGATATTTTTAATAACTATTAATGATGACACTGTTAATAACTTATTTTTTTAAAATATCAGGCTATCAAGTAACAACTTTATTTAAAAATGAAAAAAATGATGGTATTTTGAGGGGAAAAATAGCAAAAAATGACAAAAAATGACAAATTTCATTGAAAAAATGAAAAGTTCAACAACTATTTTTAAAAACAAAATAAATCAGAAGTCATCAAAAGTGTCTAAATTTTTATAAAATAAATTAACAGAATATCAAAACGCCTAATAACTTGCAACACCAAATAATGTTCAAAATAATTAAAGAAGAAGTTCACAGCAACTTTTTTTTACAATACTACTTTGATTTTTTGAAATGATTAAACTATCCATTTCACTTTTTCGTTTTAAACCAATATTTACTCCTAACTTATTTTTGTTCATTTCTATGCGCTGTAGCAGTTTTTTTTTTTTGCACTGTTCAGCATTTCATGGGAAATTTTTATACCGATCATGTTTTCTTTATTGATGGTACTTTGTATAGACTTGATCCCTTCATCCATCATTCTCTGAGCAAGCTGAAACTCTAGATCTGCATTTTTCTCATTTACAAGATTTTTTCCCCCTTTGATCTAGGTTTTTGTTGTTTTTTTGAACTTTTCAAGCATTTCGTTGTGTTATTTTTTTTATCAATAAGTTCTTGCTTATGAATATAATTTATTCTTTTTCCTTCTTCTTCCTCAGCTTTTATTTTTTTATATATTCTGTGAGCATTTTACACTGTTTGAACAACGTCTTTAGAGAGAGAATCAAAATTATATGCTGCATTGCAACTTCTTGCGTATTCCTTTGATATTCTCATAGCCTTGCGTATTCCTTTGATATTATAATGTTTCACCATTTACTTTTACTCACTCTGAAGTCAATGTTTTATTATCTGATAAACTTTACTCTATACTAATGTTTCCATTCTGAATAGTTAATAAGCTCTTAATAACTTTATTGAGATATAGATACTTAGTTTTTCCATTGTCAAGTAAAAAAGGCAAATCTCCTAATACCTTCAAATCAAGCGGATTTTTTGTAAGTAATTTACAACGGATATACATCCATCTCTCATTTGCTGTAAGTAGATATTTCCTTTTTTTTCACATGAAATTTTTTTCATCTAAAAATTACATATTTACCTTTGAAACTCAACATCAGTCAGAAAAAATAACTTTTTTGATAAAACATCTAGAAAATATTGAAATATTCAATAACCAATCAAATAGTTTGTATTTACTCTAAAATAAATGTAACAAAATATTAAAAAGCAAAGTTCTTGGTTTTTAGCTACCTTGCCAAAATCCATTTTATTTAAATCAAGTTGGATAATTGAATTAAAAGAATCAATTTTTAAAAGATATTTGGATAGTTTACCATTAGCAGAAGATTTAAGAAAACTCATGATCAATTATATTAAAAAGCCTTTTATTTTATAAAATAAAATATGAATAAGCGGTCCTTCATCTTGGAATATGGTTAAGTATTTTTCTAACAAAGGAGCTATAAACATAAGAAATTTGACGGACACAAGTAACTCCTAAATTAATTAACTCCTACAACATGACTAATAAAAAAAATTAAAAAAAACCTAAACTTATTAAATTACATTTTCATTTTTCTTAAAAGTTCTCTGAAGTCTAACGTAAGGTTTGTTGTTTATCAGAGTCTTTTTATATTCCTTTTGTTTTGGAATATGCTCCAAAACAAAAGGAATATAAAAATATTTCTTAGTATCTTCCTATCTTAATAAAACTTTTTCAAGTAGCAGAAAAAGTAAGCCATCTAGAATTTATAAAAAGAGTTTTAACAATGTTTTATCTTCAATGAAAATGAAATCAGCTAATATTTTGAAATCCTCTGTTTTGCAGGGTGCATTCTACAACAATAAAAAAAAAAACACATTTCAAACTTGAGAATAAACTTTTACTATCAACTTTTTATTAGCTAATAATGAGTGACAAACAATTTCATTTTTAATAATACTAACAATAAAATTACTAATAAAACCCATACCCTAAACCAAGTATGTAAATCAACTGCAAGCTGCTCAGCATCCTCACCTAAAACTATTATTGCTTTTCGAAATGTATTATGCATTGTGTCCAAAGTGCAACTTACAAATGGTAATAAACCATTAAAACCATCATTATGAAGATTAGTATTTAAAAACTTTCAAACGGCCTTGTTAATTTTAGGACCATCAGTTGAAATATTAAATAGTTGATCCCATGGTAAATCAAATCTTTCATTATGATGTATATCTGCAAGCATTTTTTGACATCTTCTGCTGTTGCTCTGCCAAAGAACAGCAATGTTAAATATTTTGTAACAACTTGGTTCTTTTCTTCTGACCAAAAACAACATAGAAGACCCATTTGTTTTTTTTGCTGTGCTTTGTGCTGTGCTGTTGTTCTATCAAACATTAAAGTAAAAGCACCTTAACTTATTGATTACTAGAACACAGGCGTTTCTCTAACAAAGGTCCAAGGCCATCATGAAATATGTATGAAGCTTTTTGTCTACTCATATTAAAACCTTGACTTACTATACTATCTGAAAACATTCTTTGAAATAATAATGATGCATTATCACTAAGTCTTAAAGCAAAATCATTTACTTTAAACAGCCATATAGCTTCTGCAGCTGAAATTTTATCATTTATAGAGCACTTTAATAGTACTATTTTCTCTCCCCCAATAAAGTTTTTATTTGATTCTACATATAAATGATGATATGTTTTTGAAAATTTAATGTTACAAACTAATTTATGTTTTAAATTATGGTTTTGTAGAATGCTGATAAAGTGCTTGAAAACTAATTAAACTGTATTTCAAATCACTAAAACATAGTTTCAAATCACTAAAACATAGTTTCAAATCACTAAAACATAGTTTCAAATCACTAAAACATAGTTTCAAATCACTAAAACATAGTTTCAAATCACTAAAACATAGTTTCAAATCACTAAAACATAGTTTCAAATCACTAAAACATAGTTTCAAATCACTAAAACATAGTTTCAAATCACTAAAACATAGTTTCAAATCACTAAAACATAGTTTCAAATCACTAAAACATAGTTTCAAATCACTAAAACATAGTTTCAAATCACTAAAACATAGTTTCAAATCACTAAAACATAGTTTCAAATCACTAAAACATAGTTTCAAATCACTAAAACATAGTTTCAAATCACTAAAACATAGTTTCAAATCACTAAAACATAGTTTCAAATCACTAAAACATAGTTTCAAATCACTAAAACATAGTTTCAAATCACTAAAACATAGTTTCAAATCACTAAAACATAGTTTCAAATCACTAAAACATAGTTTCAAATCACTAAAACATAGTTTCAAATCACTAAAACATAGTTTCAAATCACTAAAACATAGTTTCAAATCACTAAAACATAGTTTCAAATCACTAAAACATAGTTTCAAATCACTAAAACATAGTTTCAAATCACTAAAACATAGTTTCAAATCACTAAAACATAGTTTCAAATCACTAAAACATAGTTTCAAATCACTAAAACATAGTTTCAAATCACTAAAACATAGTTTCAAATCACTAAAACATAGTTTCAAATCACTAAAACATAGTTTCAAATCACTAAAACATAGTTTCAAATCACTAAAACATAGTTTCAAATCACTAAAACATAGTTTCAAATCACTAAAACATAGTTTCAAATCACTAAAACATAGTTTCAAATCACTAAAACATAGTTTCAAATCACTAAAACATAGTTTCAAATCACTAAAACATAGTTTCAAATCACTAAAACATAGTTTCAAATCACTAAAACATAGTTTCAAATCACTAAAACATAGTTTCAAATCACTAAAACATAGTTTCAAATCACTAAAACATAGTTTCAAATCACTAAAACATAGTTTCAAATCACTAAAACATAGTTTCAAATCACTAAAACATAGTTTCAAATCACTAAAACATAGTTTCAAATCACTAAAAGTTTGCAGACTGCATAATCAGAGTTTTTTTCTCAGCCCATAGTTTAATTTTAAATAGATTTTTGTCAAGCTTTTCCAGTCAAACCTTATTCCAGTTAACCATTATGGCTTTGACTTATCTATAGACCTATTTATTGACTAATATACGAAAAATTAAAAATACAATTTGAAAAAAAAAAAAAAAAAAAAAAAAAAAAGACAAAAAACTTACAAAAAAATGACGAAATAAATAAATAAAAAATCACAAAAAAATCACAAAAAAATGAAAAAAAATAAATAAATGAAAAAAAAAGACCCCCCAAAAAAAAGAA